CATATTACTTTTCCGACTTGGTTCCCATGCAGCTCTAAATTAAATTGTTCGTCCAGCTTTGGTGATTATACTGCATTCATTTCTGGGGCCTGACGTGTCAGCTGAACATTTTCTGGGAAATGGGAAATGGAAATCGGGAAACGGTTAGGGGGAACTGGGAGCAGGGGAACATGGCAACATTAAAATGCACTTTGACAGGCGTCGGATAGCCCGTCGGTTGGCCTCTAGTTTGCACAATGTTTAGGCAATTATTTACTTTGGTTGCCACGCACACAGGCGCAGCTAGGATACACACACACGGGGCTGACATGAGGTCCCGAGCAGAGCCCCGAAAGCTTATCTTGACAGCCATTAAATGGCCGCAAAGCGCTGGAATATGTGATTTATGTATGTGAATTTAGCGGTGCGTTTGTGTTTGTATGTGTCGGGGTTTTCAGCAGTTCAGTTCTGTGTGTGCGTGCGTGTGCATTTTTAAGGGGGTTCCCGAATAAGGAGATGGAGAGAGATATGGGACATGGCATGACTGGCAAGGGGGAGGACTTCTAATCGCGCTTATCTCACGACTCCTGCCACGCCCCAAACCCAAGCCCGACCCGCTGTCTATCAACTTTATCGCCTTCGGGGTGCCGTTTAGTTTATTGACCCATCCGAAGCCGAATAGGTGTGAGCCGACTCGTGTAACGGGCAATTTGTTGGCGGCAATAAATCCAGCAAATTATTGGCCAATTTTCATGCAAGTTAATTTCCAGTTAAAGTTCAGATTTCATCCGACATCGCACACGGCACATGGCACATCCTATAAATAGAGCAGACATATAGGGTCCTTTTTGATAGATGAGTCCGCCGCCTCTCCTTCGGGGCTAATAATAGAAGGAGCACACACACATTTGTCCTCATCGCCAGCGCTGCTGCCACTGTTGCTAGCGTTCATTAATATTTTCGCTGGGTCGCCCAAACAATGTATTGACATTTCAATTAATTATGAGTGGAAACCAGGGGGAAAGAGCGGAGAAGCCTGGCCGCAGTCTGTGACCTTTTGCTCCTGTCAGCCGAGTGATACGCGGGCCTGGCCTGACATCTGCGAGATGGGAGCGGAAAGTTTGCGAAAGTTTTCGCATTTGATGCAGAAAATAAGTATATAGAAAGACAGGAAATATTCGGGAATCATGAAATGGAGCAGCATAATCCTCGATAGCCTATATATGGGCTTAACTTCTTTAATGATTCATTCAGTAAGACTCGAGCAACAAAATGAAACTAAAATAATAATTTGAATTATTTCATAATTATTCAGAGGTTTTCTGCTAAAATAAAAATAATAGATTATATATTTTATTTTTCTTATTGATGAACGGTAGAGGAAATGTGAATAGATCTTCCTTGGACACTTTAAGAATCACAACCTGGCCGAGAGTAAGGTTGTGGCAACGCACTTTGACCTTTCACTCTCCTCTTTGTTAGTCCTGCCTCATACTTTCGATGGCGTAAACGTGTCAGTAGATGTTGCCACCCACCGATTTCCCTCTACCCTGCAAAACCAGCAAAAATTATTTATATAAAAAAAGAAGCATTGATAGCTTTCTTATGTTCATAATTCAAATGTTTTTTCAACTTAGCTTTGTTAATTTTGCATTTATTTTTAATAAGCACAGCGACTGCCGGAGCAGCTTGCCTTCGTTCTCGCTCTGCATACCCGCTGCGAGTTCAATGTTTATGAAACTGTCTCTTAAATGTTAAAGCTAAGTCGCCTGACGGAGGTGAGCTTTATGCAAATCCTGGCGCTGCAAAAAATCACACACACACACACACGGGGAAGGGTCCTAAACGGCGAAATGCTACTAAGCCCACTTACTTACAATTTAGCAGGAAAATAAAGCGAACGAGAGACAGGAAGAGAGAACAGAATCATATTGCGAAAACGAGAGTGTAAAATTTTTTGCATACATAAAACGAGGAGCAAAACGTAAGGGCAGCGAATAAAACAACGGCAAGGCAACAACGACGGCTCGGCTATGGCGATGGCGGCAACAAAATGAATCCAGCTTTATGGCACGCACCCACACATGCACACCCGCTCACCCGCACACACACAGGCGCGCTCAACACTTGACTTTATTCAGCCGCCATGGCAAGTGCCTTAATAGTGTGCGTGAGCAGTGGGGTGTGGGGTGTGTGTGTGTGTGCCCCAGTGTGTGTGCGGACTACTTTCTTGTGCGGGCGGCACAAAATCCAATCAACATAACGAGCTACAAGCGCCGCTGAGCGGCATAAAACGAAAAAAATATATACGACTGTGTGCGGGATGTGATTGTATGGCTCCCGAGTGTGTGTGTGTGTGTGAGTGTGTGATGGCACACACGCATATACAGCTCTTTTGGAAGAAACACTGTGAGAAATTATGCTGCCGCCGGGATAGAGATAAGGCCATAAGCCAGGCCCAGCTCTAAGCCCCTTAAATCCCCCTTGGGAAAAATCTCTTTCAAATTCGAACTTAGAAGAGCCAGCTAGAAGCCAAAAAATAAATGCATAAATCTGAAAATATGCCTCTGTCGAAAATCAGCATCCTTTCGAGTTCTAGAATTATTACCCACTCAAGGGACTTATTTAAAAGCCTAAGAATTAGCCTACATGACGTGACTTACCACAAGTTGCTCAGGACAACAGGACATTATTATTAGATTATTAATAAAGTGTATAGATAATAATAGATTAAATCATTCTTGATCTACACATAGTAAAAACTTATCAGGCTCTCAGGCTTGGAATGGTTCTTAATTTCAGAAACATTATTAAAGAAATCAGTTTTCCCACTGTTTTTATTAAAGAACTAGCAAAAAACTAACGTACTACTAAGTCGCTTTCCATCTCAAACAGATTCCAAATATATATAAACTATTTTTCACAGTTCTCGACGTTCATTCAACCCACGGGGCTTGGCAACAACAAGCGGCCAAAACAGCTCAAAGCTTCGGCTGAGGTAGACAAGCGCCCAAGTGCTGTTTTTTTATTGTTGCTCGTTGTTGGTGGTGGAACAGTAAAAACATTGCCAAGCTCAAAAGTGTGTCGACTTGACACAAACACAAGCAACACACACGCACACGCAGAAGCAAATGAAATAAAAGTAAACCCATTTACACCGCACTCGGAGGGTGGGGAGGCGGAGGGGTTTTGGCGCCAACTGCTTGGCAAGCTGCAAATGTGGGACATTTGGCAGTCGCAGTCGCATTGTTAACTTTCTTTGACAGCGGGCCAAAAAAAAACAGGAGCGAGGGGAAACAGAAAAGAAAAAAAACTGGGAACCCCCGGGTGCATGTCCTCAACTCAACGCCGATGTAGGTGCAGCATCAACTGCAACTGCAATGGCAACCTCGCTTGCAGCATGTATTTATGGCACAAAATTGCAAGCACAGCAGCAGCAAATTAACACAGCACGAATGCAAATTCGAACGGCCAGACCAGCCTGTTGCCATTTTCATCCCCATCCCCGTTTCCATTTCCATTCGCATTTGCATTGGCATTGGCATTTGCATTCCCAAACCCCAACCCCAACCCATTCCCGTTCCCATTTCGACAAATTGATTATTTGCATGGCGATCCAGCTGGCTGCCCACATGGCAACAACGATGGCAGCTCGCCTCGGTCATGGCCATGCCAATGCTCGATGTTCCGGGGCCATGTCAGCGGGAGGCGCCTCTCCGGGGGAAGGGAGTGCCAAAAATAGGCGTGGCCCGCACGCACTTATCGCCCATGCACAGCACGTCGGCCAGTGGAGTGGAGAAAAATGCTTATAAAGGATTAATTCGATTCCAATATTCGCATACGCACTTTGCATTCGCCACTCCCTGAGCTCGGCATTTTGCATCTCCGGCCTCCCGCAAGCTGGTCAGCAGATATATGTACATATACTATGTGTGCATCTGGGATATTGCCGGTCATTGTTGGCATTGTTTTAAATGCCCAAACCATAATGATTGTTTCGAAATGAAAGTGAGCAGCAGAGCGTGAGAGGGTATGGTGGTGCGGGTCAGTGGACTAAGGCATCCTGCAAGCCGGAGATAAGCAGTTTCGAATCAGGAGCTTATTTATTTTGAGTGTCTAAAGCTCTTGAATAATCCAACAGCCTGATAAAGGGATTACGTTTGATTAAGCTTAGGTGTCATGTGTGACAAGTTACCAGCTAAAATGTTGGATTTTTATATATTATATTATGTATTTTAACCCCTGACAACAATTAGATTCCTTACAAATAAAGCATCAACTTCTTTTATAACTAGAATATCAACACCAGCATCCCCAATACCTAAACGAATTATTATGGTTAAGTGCAGAATTAATTTTAGCATCATTATATTAAATAGAAATGATTAACAACACCCATTGTAAAATAATTAAGAAGAGTATTTTCCCGAAGAAAATATTCTTGTATAGTTTGTTTAACTTTAAGTGAACACAAAATCAAAGAAAAATTCGAAAGGGCATATATCTTTCAACGGTGACACACTAAAAATTTCCTTCACACAGTCTTTTGTAGCTGCGATTGCAATTTGCATTTTTCATGAACGGCAGGCAGGGCGGCAACTTAATGGATTCCCTGGGCAACAGCTTTCAGCGGCATTACGGTGTCAAGACCTTTTAAATCTTCAATTTCCCACCGGGATCACATCGCAGATTTAATTGCATTTATGACCACATTTCGCATTCGGAAGCACCATTAACACAACGACGAAGCGAAAGGCGAAGCTGCCATGCAGGTGGTGTGTTCTATGCAGATTGAGATGCATTCGATGCACCGACACAGATTGGCCAAATGGCATGTTAATTGGGCTAATACGATTTCAAATTTAATTTAACACGCCGCACACGGCCTCCAATCAGAGCCAGCCGGGTGGGCAGCCGGAATTAGTGAATGAACACTGATTTTGGGGGGATGAGACTAAACCGCTGTGATTATCAATTCAGATGGAATTCGGGTTAATGTTTCCTAACATTATTGCTTTCAGCTCGCACCCAGACAGAAGCCAGAGACTAGAAGGAAGGTGCAAGGTGAGAGGAGCAAGGAATCAGGACGCACGACACAGCAGGACACTACCACATCCCCCAACATGGGCAGCGGACACTATTTCTGGGCGATCCTATACTTTGCCAGCCTGTGCAGTGCTTCACTGTAAGTACTCCTCGACGCTACCTCGATCTCAATTCACACAGATACACGCCACTCGCATACAGTAGCTGCAAAATGTAAACCATCACGCTTCACAATGTGTCTCTCGCGTCACTTGCCATTTATTTTCCACTCACTTTTTGCTTAATTTTAATGCCGCGCGGCTCTTGTTTCGCGTGTTTCACACTGCACTTGGCCGGAAAGTGGCGTTCAAGCTGCGATTTACATACAATTGTCGTTAATTTGGCCCGGCCACGCCCAGTTATGAAACAGCGAAGCCGATTTGCATATATAAAAGCCACTGCATATGCCAATACACTGAGGTTAAAGAGCCTTTTGCTGCCATCGAATATTATATTTTTGAATAAAGATCTCACAATTGATAGAAATATAAATTCAAAGAATTTGAAAACAGAGATCTCCCAAAACAAATTTATAAAAAACTCTTTACAAGTTCCTGGAATTTGTTTTGCAGTGTATATACGTGTATCGGTTAATGCGGAAGTAGTTTAGCTTCGAGCTGTAGTTAGCTTTTCAGTTGTCGCTGATTTACAAACACACGCCCACAACTTTAGCCGCCTTCATGTACTTGAATTTGCATATCCTGTCTCACACACACCCACAGACAGACACACGCCACGAGGACACCTCATTAAAATGTAATTAATTATCGTGTAATTTTTTGTCGGAGCATAAATTTTGGAATTATTTTCGCTCAAGTCGAGGTCAGAGTCAGCAGCTATGTGACTCTGCCCCGGCTTTTGATATGTGCGACAGTGTATAATACCAGCTACCAGCTAATGATAACGACCACCACACTCTCCCACACCTCCAATCAATTTGTACATACATGCCTAAAAAAAAAAAAGAAAACAACAATCAAATATGATAACTTGCTGTAAATTGTATGCAAACATTTTCCTTTATGCGACATTTCAAAAATAATTACTAACAATTTGCTCAGCTAATGTTTTTTCCAAATCTTCGATAACAACTTAATATTTTAAAATTCTAAAATTTGCCCAAACACACTGAAGCAAAAAATGTTTAAATTATACATGCGTGCCTATCCATATCCTGATTTCAGAGCAAATAATGCCAAAATAAATTTCCGAGAAAAGGAGAAAAAAGTCTTAGATCAAATTTTAGGTGCAGGCAAATACGATGCCCGAATACGACCATCCGGAATCAATGGCACAGGTGAGCATAATTCAGTATAACCCTACATAGATCTTAACCGAACAATATATAATATATAAACCTATATGACATTTTTAATAATTTCTTTATGTGCGACTTTTGTTTGATTGTGCAAACATGCCTTATGTTTTTGCTTTTAGTTAATTATGTACGCCAGGGATTAATTTATTAATCGAAACTATATATATATACGATATCTGCTTAACAAAATTACCAAGCTGTTAGCTAGTGTAAGCCTCTGCTAAAGTTAATCGAAACTAAAATCAAATCAACGGCGAGTCATATCTAACCTAGCTTAGTTTGCCAATCGGAGCTCAGCGTTATCTATAGCCTAGTTAGATCAGATATATAAGTTAACCACTCTACATTTACGTCGCAAAACTCACGTTTGAACCCACCTCTATGCCAGATGGTCCCGCCATAGTCAGAATCAATCTATTCGTACGCAGTATTATGACGATTAGTGATATTAAAATGGTAAGTCGCACTGAAACGGAGGGAGTAACTCGATAACAATTCGGTTCGATAGATTGACCCCTCACCAGACACCACCTCTGTTCTCGAGCTCCCTCTCTCACCCTCTCTTGCTATTTCACTCTGCCTTTCCATCAAGAAATTAGAAAGCATTAGAACACCCGCACACTTTAAACACACACACACTAACTTACAAATAACACCCACACACTGTTTTGCGTTTTGCGTTGACTCGTTCTATATTTCCCTCGATACTTATATATACTATCTATGCGTATGAACATCCGATGCTAAGTATTTGCGTTTGATTTTTGCCAGTGACTTTTACGGCAGATTGTACCAGTACATATTCCCCAGTTTGTTTCCGTTCCGATTGTTTCTAGAAGCAGCCTCCTTTCGTTTCGTTTGAGATTAACAGCAAATAAGCCCAGCAAAGTCGCCCGACACGACGAAAAGCGGAAATCGAAATGAGAAAAACCGTTGCCTACTAATCGGGGCCTGTTTTGGCAAAGCGGATATCCGCTCCCTGCTGGGGATCCAGCCGCCATTTTCAATGCCATTTTAAAACTGTTTATGTAATAAGTACATGTGTTCGTCATTTTAATATTGACTCTCTCACCACCCCGACTAAAATCCCCCTTCACTCCCAGTTTCAAGTGCTCATTTTATCGTTCGACTTTTTCGTTGTGCAATTATAAATAACGTTTTGATTTCATTTGCAGTTAATTTTATTGTTGTCATGTTGACTTTTACCGCAGCAATGACATCATTAATAATGTAGGGGCAGCATAAATATTTGAAAATAGCTCGACACAGCCACCGTCACCATCACCGTTACAGTCACATTCACATCCACAGTTACATACTATAAATGGCCATGAATCACCGACTGGCAACGACACATAGAGTCACAAATATAGTCGGCATATTTGCCAGCTTGATAAATATTAACTATTAAGGCATATCAATTAGCACCAGCCACTCCGGTATTTGGAAGGCAATCACAGAGATCCCCCGTATTTTGTTCATACTCGTACCACACCCACGAACACATACACCACACCACCTTACCACCCCCTACTACCAGCCCCCGTATAAGCCACCCTCGAAGGTCACAAAAACAACTCATAGACAAACAACGCAACTTTAGTAACGTACATAAATTCTAGCTTAACTTAGGTATATAAAAAACGCAAACAAACGAAACAAAAATCGGGAAGAAAATATTCTTTGACTTAGCTTAGCTTTGTAAGCAAAACTGGAAGCGAACTTGCTAGTAACTTTTGTATCGTAGTAAGTAAGCAAAAAGGAAAACAACAACCGGGAGGAAGGCTATAAAATAAAACTTTATTACAGAGGGCCACATAAAGGCATAAGGACTGCCAAAGGCCGAATATGCGAGGGTACAAGGGTACATACATACATACATACATATGTATGGTATATCGAAGCGGACCGGAGCGGGCCGTGCGGAGGAGGAGGAGGAGAAGGTCGCTCGCCGGGTCATTTTAAGTTTGTTTTAGGGCCGGACCCTGCGGCAGCTGTTAAAAATCTCTTGTATATTACATTGAAAGTATTGTGCAAATCGGTGAATATGTCTATCTATCATGTATCGTCCTCCAGATGGTCCCGCCGTGGTGCGCGTCAACATATTCGTTAGGAGTATATCGAAAATCGATGATGTAACCATGGTAAGTCCGCGCCTCCAAAAGCCAATCGATCCACCATGAAAATGAAAATGAAAACGAAGCCCCGCTAGTATCAGACACCACCACTCCCTTGACCGCAAGTGGATGCTCGAGTCGTATAGTCAGGTCTCGGGTCAATGAACCCAAAACACTTTTCGCTCTGTCCCCTCGTCCCCTCGTCCCCCAGTCTCTTCAGTGCCCGCTCAACTATGTTCTGCTCTCTCCACTCTCGTTAGGAGCCGGGAGGCAGCCAAGACACTCGAAATGAAACAAGAATATACATATGTATAAACATGAAAAACCATATATATGCTAACGTACTATACTATATCTGATATTGGTATCTATAATACATAATACTTTGTTTGTTTGACTATCGGTGTAACTTGATTTTCGTATTTGATACTTGATTTGTCTTATTTACGTATTGGGTTGTTAGCAAATTAAAGCCAAATTGTCTGATTAGTTCGACTTTGAGTTTACGATTGCATTTAACCTTAGCGCCTTTTGTTCCGTCAGTTTGCATTGGTAACTTGAATTCTCTCACTTGCATTTCTCTTTGTTTCTCATGTCAACGAATTGTAAAATAAATACTCACTCCACCGTTTTGTAGTGAATCAAAAGATATACAAAACATTATGAAAAAATGTCTTTTTGGATCTCTTTCCTACACGTCTATCTACCTTCTATCTCTCTCTCTCTCTCTCTGTCTGTCTCTATCTCTGCCTCTTTCACTGCCGCTCGCTGTGTCTATCTCTTTATTTCCAACTATAAAATAGTCCAACTTAGATTAATTTCCCCCGCTTTCCCCCACTCTCTGTACAAACTTATAAATTTCCACTAACAATAATTAAATAATTAATCCCATTGACTATTTATAACCGTGCTGAGTGGGTGCAGAGCATCTATTTAACCTCGAACTAATCATATACGAATTTATTTTCAATTACGCCTTTTGCTTACTAAGAAAAAACTAAAATATCTGTGAATTAATCAATTTTATTTCATTTATGCTATTCTCTGTACTTAGTGAATCAATAAATTCAACTGTGAACTGTTCATTTTAATCGTGTGCTTTGTATCTGTGTCGCCCAACTATTTTTTGTCCCTGTAACCGCCCTCGTAACCAACTTTTTCATCCCCTGCAAACCCGTTAAAAACGATGTTAATCCAATTGAAAATAGTTTAGTTTATTTATTCATTTTATTGAACACAAAAGAACCTGAATACAGGATCGGCTTAAATATTCTCGGAGCGAATTGAACACTTGAAAACGGAATCCGGAGAGATTCCGTACAGCAGAAGGAAGGCATGCATTATTCAAAAGTATTTTAATACGAATACTATTTATTTACACGAATACTTTAAATTGACACACTAAAATATATATACATAAAAATGAAAATAACTAAACGGTAACCAATATCACTCTTCAATGAGATCCATACAGACATTTTTCTTTATTAACATTCTATTAAATTCACAACGTTTCTTTTATTTTCAGTTATTTTCAGTTTGCTTTTCGGTTCGTTTCATTTTTGATTCACACATTTCGTTCACACATAAAATTCATCAAAATTTAGCGAGTAAGTTAGTGTAAGCTCTACATACTACGATAGTTGGTAAGAGTGACTAGGCTAAGGGGAGCAGGGAAGGCGGAGGAGAACCGATTTTGATATGCCGATTGATTCTAGCTAATTTGGCCACCATTGTGAAAGTCAACATGTTCCTGCGCTCCATTTCCAAAATCGACGACTACAAAATGGTGAGTTCCGGCCAAGAGCACAGCCAAGAGCACCACTACTGCCATGTACAACACCACCACCACTCCAACTACAGATACTTCTACAGATAAATCCCAAGCGCTTACTCTCACTTTGCTCTAATTGTGCGTGCGTGTGTGTGTCTACAAAAGTTAATCCAGTAATTTGGGCCTATTAAATAATTGCATTAATAATAAATGTCCTTAAGTGTGTGTGTGTGTGTATGTGGGGGCGTAAGTGGCTGTAAAATATACTTAATCGGGGCACTTTCGACTCCTCCGTGCAGCTTGTAAATTGTCTATATGTCAGGGGTGCCACGGAAGTCGCAGGTGATTTGAAAGCACTTACAACTATGCCTAAAAGTATGCTGTGCAAATGGCAACCCACCTCTCTGGTTTCTTGGCATACTTTTGGGGGCATGTGTGAGTGATCTCAAGCCACCCGTATATCTGTATATCTTAAGCTAGCCGAATATGTTAGCCCTACCGATGTACTTGTATCATACAAATATGCATAACTATACTCCCGCTGTATCAATATATATTAAACTATGTAAAATACCTATGATTTCTTTGTGTCCACTTTTCATTTACGACTCGAGAGCAAAACCTGCTTATTGCTTGCCACCACCACCGCCCGACGACGACGCCACTTGCCGAGAGAGCCGAGTATTGAGCTATTGAGTTTATAATCTAAGTTTTAGCTGTAACCTAGGCTAGACTTAAGGCTTAAGTCGAACCACCGTCAGACAACAAGAACAGACACCCACACCCACACCCGCCATCATTCAGCCACCACAACCCCCAGATCATTCAGTTCAGTTCCGTTCGGTTCGGTTTGATTCGGTTCATTCACTTTTGGTAACCTCATCATTTAAGCCAACCCTGTTGCAGCCATCTTTGGGCATGTGGAAAACGCTAGCCACACACAAATTAAGAGTTCCCTTCGGGCCCTCTGACAGGGCTAACTGTAAGTACTAACTGAGAGATGTCGTGCCGGTCCGACATGCGAAAAACTAAATGGGAAAAGCCCGTCACCATCTCCATTTGTCCAGTTCGGTTTCCGCTGTCAGGAAAACCGTTGGCAAAAAGCGGACAGCTCCGACAGCCAACGGCTGGCACAAAAAACCGACAAACACAAATAAGCACGTCAAAGTGCATAAAAGAAACGCGCCATAAATAAAATGGAATTATTTGTAATAATTATTCAAATTTATTTGTTTTCACATTGCTTAATTGGTTGCAACAACATTTCCCCCTCCTGGAACTGGCGCGAAGCTTAGGGGAATAATATATAGCGACACACGAGTTACTAAACCAAACTAACAGCGTTTCTACGCGATTTCAGTTGGTCTTAATTCAATTTTTGATTACACTCCCAATTCTTTTTGTTAACCCCCGTCTCCTGTGGAAATGGCATGACTTTTTATACTGAGTGTTATAGTTACCTATTATAGCATGCGTGTTTACTAATTAACCTGTGGGGAAGTTGGAGCTCAAGAAGCTCAGCTGGAGGGGAGCATTTTGTTATTATCAGATATCATTCGATTGAGGTTTCATCACAATTCAATTTCATGTTTATACGTTTTCTCAGCATGGAACTTAGTTCTTAAGGTACTTTTAAGTTAACTTAATGAATAATTTCCCACATGTACCATTGCCTTTGTTCGACGACCAAACTATGTATACTAAGTTCTGAATGTACACTTAGGTGCCTTGCTTCTCCGCCTGCTCGTTTTGCTTTTGTCTTGACGTGTTCCTTGCCTGCTTTTAGCCTGCTTGCATTTTTAAACTTTACACGGCATTTGGTTGCATTCCGGGCAATGCGAACATAAAATGTTGTCTCTAGCCACGACAAAGTACTATTCCATTAGCCGAGAACATTGCAAACTAGCCGGAACCCAAGCCAAACGACAGCCAACCATTAAATGCCATGTATCAATATCAATATATACGAATATCAATATCAAATATACCACTCAGTTATACATGCCAAATAACAACTACTTCGCCTCGCCACGCCTTGCTCGCTCTTTCATACTCCAACCAACAATCTCTGTCCAACGTAAAGCCAAAGTCCCGTCAACCAAAATCAAATTCAATTAAACAAATCGAACTGCAAGCCACCCCCAATTGAAAAGCCCCTCAGTACACAGTCTAAAGTAAAACTGAAAAGAAAGGAAAGCTCGAAAGAAACCCCCTTTCAATTCGACAAAGCGAAATTTGCATTGTAGTTCTGATTGAATCCTCGAAGAGTCCCTTTGATTTCGTCTACTAATGAGACTTTTCCTCCGCCCACCCACCACTACACCCACTTCCGGCGCCCACAGGAGTACAGTGTGCAGTTAACCTTCCGTGAACAGTGGACGGATGAGCGCCTCAAGTTCGATGATATCCAGGGTAAGTCAGAACTAGGAGCTACCTCGGATTGGCTTATTAACACTCCGCTTCTCCCAAAGGCCGCCTGAAGTACCTGACCCTGACGGAGGCGAACCGCGTGTGGATGCCCGATCTCTTCTTCTCCAACGAGAAGGAGGGACACTTCCACAACATCATCATGCCCAATGTTTATATACGCATCTTCCCCAACGGCTCCGTGCTATATAGTATACGTATCTCGCTGACATTGGCCTGCCCAATGAATCTCAAGCTGTATCCGCTGGACAGGCAGATCTGTTCGCTAAGGATGGCGAGCTGTAAGTATAGTCTCTCTCGACTGCAGAATCGGGGTTGGATTTACTGTAGAGCAGTCATATAACGTATCGTCGTTATGTCCTTATACTGTAGCTTACAGTAAATTCAACTTATACTGTTGGGTTGGGGCACTTTGACAGTGATATTGGTTGAATTTACTGCAGGAATTTTTTCTGTGTACATATAATATTAATAAAATTGATGTTGAAGCTAGGCCTAAGATATTGCTATTGTTATTAATCTGTAACTTACTAACTAACACACTCTTTCAGATGGCTGGACCACCAACGACTTGGTCTTCCTCTGGAAGGAGGGCGACCCCGTGCAGGTGGTGAAGAACCTCCACCTGCCCCGCTTCACTCTGGAGAAGTTTCTGACTGATTACTGCAACAGTAAAACCAACACGGGTACGTGCGTTCAGTATGTGTGTGCTGTTGACCTTCCACTCTCGATTCCAGAGACTCATGATATCCGATAATGTTAACTATTTTCCTAGAACTCTCGGCTTTTTACTCGTTTCCTCGCTGGTTGCGTATTTTGTTTGCATTTGTATTAAGCGCTCCCCAGCGATTGCATGCCAAGTGGTTTAACTTTAGCTCTAGCCATATCGTAAACATGTTGGGTCCCAACTGGAGAATATTATAAACGGGCCCATAATCACTTCATAGCACACACACACATGGCATACACCCCCAATTACCCGTACTCCCCCGCTCATGTTCACATACACAGACATGGCGAATTTTATAAGATGCCGTTTACACATGCGCCATTTCAATGAGCATATCGTTTTGGGCCGTTATCAATGCCCGAAACGCATAGAGCCAACTTTTTACGATGTAATTCGCACACTCACACAAACGTGCTTCCCACGCACACACACACACACACACACACGGTAGCGTTTACCTTGCCGTTTTTTATGAGCACTTGGAAATCTGCGCGCGCTCTAAGTAAATGTTTACCTTGGCGAACAACTATTCAGTTGCACGACCGGGGGGATTCCCCGATTCCCCAGCAAATGCGAAACGGAAAATGAAGGCAAAAATGGCAAAAGCCGTGCGGAAAGTAAATTAATCGAGGAAATTGTCTGCGACGTTGTTTAAACTTGCACAAAAGACGCCTGCACCGCACAAGATGGCGACGCCAATGTGGATGTAGATCCAAAGTGGAGGTGGAAGTGGAAGTGCCAGTGGAAGCACAAGTGGAAGTGGAAATGGAAGCAAACAAGGAGAGGGCAAGATTTTTCCACAAGTTGGCAGATTGTGTGTCAGCATATTAGGATAGTTAACGGCAGCCCGAGCAAACAGAGCAATCATTTGGAATCGTGTATTTATCTAGTGGAAACTCCACCTAGTTCAAACATGAGTCCGCTGACTCTACACATTTTTTTGTTTACCAATTACCGAGAACGGAAGCCAAAGTCCGTCTCGCTCTCTTTAAATAGTGCCATCATCCCCATCATCCATCCACAAATAAGCTAGCATGAGCCTGAATTTCATCACTCCCGATATATGAATCAAAAATAATCATATTTAGCTCAAGTCTACTTTATACCAACTAAATCGGGGGACTCACGGCAATATCTTTGGAGGGAGTGTTTAAAAATGGGCAATGAAATTGCCAGTGTTTCTGTGTCCTTTAAGATCAGAATTTTTGTAATAATATATGTTATTGCCTACTCTTAGACCCCCTTTAAGAGGCTTTGGCTCCACCACAGATATTGCACTGAGCCCCCCTAATATGACTTTTTCCACTTAGACGTTGCGTAGTTGTTGCAATTTAGATCTCTCGCCTTGAATCTAGTTGCTCACATAAAGTTTATTAATTTTATATCTTCTATGAGCGTTGAACGGGATTAAAGACCGCTCGAATCCGAGCTGGCCAGAATGAGAGTCATCGCTTGATTGATGATGGCCTGTCGCAAAGCCAAAGGCACAACCGAAGGCGAGAGCCAAAGCCGCAGTGCGAACCGTTCCAGATGCGATGCCGTACCCGGGCACCCGTACCCGTACCCGTGCCCGTGCCAGAAACCCAGAATCAGAATCAGACCCAGACCAAAGAGCCGAGCAAATAAACCACACACGCAGCACTCAAGTGCAAACAGGGAAATGAAAGCCGGCCAAACAGACACAGAGAGAAATCTAATGAACAGCAGCTCGCTGAGCGAAACAAATCCCCCGAAAAATCGAAAACGAAAATCGAACCAAAAATATGAGAATGTAAAATAATAAACAACTTTGTCTTGAAGAGTATGGAACGCTTTGCCAACAAATTAACGGAAATGAAGCACCAAAAAGGGGGTGGTGGGCAATCAAGGAAGGCGGGGCGAGAGGCGCGACTGGGGGCGTGGGGTGGGGAGAAAGGGGGGAAGGGCGTGGCAGGAGCGCCTGTCGAGCGGAAGTCGGCGGAATGAAAAGCAGAACAGCAACATGAACCAGCAAACACAAAAGCCGTCGAACTTCATTTCCGTTAAGATTTTTGTTGCAAAAGTCAGAAATTGAATTCATGTTGATACTTTTTGCCTATGATGCAATTTTTCATTTGATTTTATAATTTTCGACTCTCTGTGTGCCGAAGCACCCCACAACACCCAACACTCCCCCCTCGACGAGCTGAGTTTTTTGTTTTCCTGTAAATACATTATGTCTTCTTAAATCCAAACCCCACCACCAGCCCCGTTGTATAATATGTTTTCGCCTATTTTATTTCCTTTTTGTTTCGGAAAGCCCACTTTTTGTACATACCAGGACAGACTCGACCCGAAAGAATCGTCTGTAAATGTGTTTTAATTTCTATTCTTGGCAAAATTTTCCGAGCAAGACACTTTTTATGTTCCCTATTGGATGGCATTTCTTTGTACCATATATTGGATATCTATCTGTGTGTATATACCTTCTAAAACTGTGTGTGCGTGTGACATTTAAAGAAAGAGCGAAAGCGAAGACAAACGCCTAGCAAATACCTGCTAAAATCAAAAATCAAAGCCTCTTTTAATACATCCTCCCGTACATTTTGAGTTTGACACAATTTATATACCTTGTATACTCATAGGTGAATACAGTTGCCTCAAAGTCGATCTACTATTCAAGCGAGAATTCTCATATTACTTAATACAAATTTATATACCATGCTGTATGTTGGTCATTGTATCATGGGTATCATTCTGGCTGGATCAAGGAGCGGTGCCTGCACGAGTCTCACTGGGTAAGTTGAATCCTTTCTTAAGTGTCACGTATCTTATTGTATTAATTGTTAAATGTGATTTTCATTTTATGACAATATCTGAAAATATACTGTCCATATTAAACTATTTCCTAATTGGGAAAACAACTTTAAATAAACACTACAAATAAATGTATTCTGTGTAAATATTATCTTAGCGAAAAGACAATTTGATCTGTCTGTGCTAGTCAGTCTGTATAAATCAATATATGTAAATGGATCTTTTAGAGTGACAGATATAACACAATATGATTTAGGGGAAAACGCAACTAGAGCTTTAACTATAGTTTATACTTAGATTGTTTCTATACAATGAGTATTACAACCAACTCGAATTTAATACCCTGTAAGCAGCGGCCGAGAAATTACACAAGGGATGGGAAGGGTTGCTGCCTTCAGGCATTAAACGAGAGAGTTTAGTGACTGGTCGGCACACTCGACCTGTGTTTTATGATCCTGAAGAATGTAAACTTAAGTATCTAATTGTAAAATCCAAACTGGTAGATCTTAGCCATGCATAGTTACCTAATGAAAACATACCCTAACAAAAACGAACTCTTGTACCATCGCTTTACAGGTGTGACCACCCTGCTGACCATGGCCACCCAGACGTCGGGCATCAACGCCTCCCTGCCGCCCGTGTCCTACACGAAGGCCATCGACGTGTGGACCGGCGTGTGTTTGACGTTCGTGTTCGGGGCCCTGCTCGAGTTCGCCCTGGTGAACTATGCATCCCGTTCAGGTTCGAACAAAGCTAGTAATTGAACTTTGATATGCTTCTTAACTACATATAAATGTTAATTAATCGATGGTGTTTATCTTTTTTTACTGTTGTTTTATTGTACTGAGTGATGACGAATATATACGTACATATCTATATAGTATCCATATATAAATGTCTACGCATACTGTACCTGTACCATACATACCACACCGACCCGAAAGCTCGGCCAACGCCACACTCACACACCCACACGAGTAACAACTACTACAACACACTCGAAAGCCAACGCAGGATCGGCGTGGCACACAACCACAAAGCCTCGGGCCACATCCCTACTACCTACTCGTACACAGAGTCCACTCTTATCCCTATGTCTGACAATGAGCGAAAGCCAATCGAGTTTAGTCGTAGCATTTTGATAGATTTTTCCTTTTTACCTTTCACTTTGATATCTAACCACGAAACGGACCTTCGAGTATATCAAACTAATCCAACGTTTTTGTTTACTCTCTTATTTCATTGTGCGCCCGCCATTCATCGAAATGCATACACACACTCACCCCTCCGATCACCCACCGCCCACTCACAAACACACACATGCACTGTCCACACACACATACACACCCACGCCACTTTGACAACAACGCGTTTGAAAAAATACGAAAAAACAAACAAAACTATTAACAAATTGGTCGAACTTCCCCTTTCGAAATGAAATCGAAAACGAATTGTGTTCGGTTCCTCGCTGTTGTATGAACAATGCCTGTAAATATAAAACAATATGTGTGTATCCACCGATCTCTGGATGATCCGTTGGTTTGATTTCCGTATAATTTGATACATCCTGCGTACCCCTGACCTCGTCGATACGATTGCACTCGACTTATTGTTTCGCTTCCTGGTTGATCCTCCTCATTTATTTGGTTTATTACTGAACATTTCGAATCGTTTAACGTTTTGTATGTGTGACTATCTCTCTATCTCTCTCTTTCTGTCTGTCTCTATCTCTCTCTCGCCTAACACTATCGCTGTCTAACTGTATAACTGTGTATAACTATGCATCTAAAACTAACACACCCAATAAAACCTGTAAAAATCCAAAACAAAAATCAAAAACCAAACCCAACTATCGAACTATCGATCTGCCGTGGAACAAATAAATTCTTGTCAAACATCTTCTATCACATGCAACATATATCTATGATATATACGGATCGGGCCGCAGACATGCATAAGGAGAATATGAAAAAGAAGCGCCGCGATCTGGAGCAGGCCAGTTTAGACGCCGCTTCAGATCTGCTAGACACAGATAGCAATGCAACGTTCGCAATGGTACTTACCTCTTGATATATCTCTTTAAAACCCAAACAGCTTTTCGGTTTATTGGGGGTCTTAGATACAGCTATGAAGATGGCAAAAGAGTTGGGTCTGAGCTATATATGTATCCTTTCCGATTAAAATTTTATTTACAAGCTGCATTCTTTTTAGTTTGAGCTGAAACCAGAGAATGAAAAGTAACTTATATTGTATTTATTTCATTCTCTAATTTTCATTGCCATAAGATTTGATTTTTATTCTCTGGTTACTAAAGTCAAAAGGGCTATGATTTTTATAGAATCGCGTACCTTTTCAACCTTTCGTTTTTTTTTTATTCGCGGGTCTGGGCTTTAATTCTTCAGAATTTTATCTACTTTCTACTTACTTTTTAAACCATAATTGGCAACAGCAAAACTGTTATGATAAAACTATTAAAACAACTATTTCCTTTTATATTTGCCTCTTTTTTATTACCACAAAATCAAAAAAAAAAAAAAATCAAAAACAACAACCACCAAAAACATATGCAAAATTCAACAACTTTTTTCAAACGTGCTCATCCCAACAACAATTTAACAACAACAACTACAAACCACCCCCAACATCAACATCAACAACCAACCACAAATAAACTGAAAATAAAACCTGAAACTGCAAAAAACCAACCAACCAACCAACCAACCAACCTTCCACCAACCATCACCGACCATCGCTGGCAACCAAAACAAACCACTCGACCGGAATTGAATTGAAAAATTGCTACGAAATTAAATCAAATTACGCACATGCCATTGCACCTACTCGACCGAACCACCGGACCACCGAACCACCGACCCACCCAACCACCTGTGCCACCCAACCACCGATCAACCCTCATTTGCATCCGACTACAATCGAAACTTTCATGTCAAACGGCGTCGCAATTTACACGCGGTGGCGGTGGCCAACAGAAACCGCTGGTGCGTCATCCCGGCGATCCGCTGGCCCTGGAAAAGCGGCTCCAGTGCGAGGTGCACATGCAGGCCCCGAAGCGCCCCAACTGCTGCAAGACCTGGCTCTCCAAGTTCCCCACCAGGTAACTGAGATTCGGAGCCGTGCTCCGGACCCACTCCTCATCCAAGCCCACCGAGTAGCCATATCGTTTAGTCCCATTGTGTTCCGTAGTAGTTGATGGATTTACTTTTTGATGTTGTGAACATGTACTATTCTACTCTCTGTATCTCTTTCACTAACTCTTGTTGACTTTTTGCTATCACATTACTACTATTCTACAGTCATTGAAAATCCTGTGAAAGAAACGAAAAGAATAACGAAAACCAAAGAAACCAAACCCGATATCTGCCGCTTGCTTGCCGTTCGTTCGTTCGTTCGATTCTGTTTGCTCGCTGTCTTTTGTTGCCAAAACCGAACTAACTCAAAAACATAGTTACGACTTCTAATGGCTTGTCGAACCGAGTCAAGTATCTGTGAAATACAATTGAATTTCAATTTGTGTTTGAATTAAGTTAAACCCCTTCGGATCGCCACCGCCTCTGGTGGCCGTTGATAAAGTTATGCTTTGCTTTTCAGTCATTTTGTGTGTGATTTGTTTGTTTTAAAATATATATTTGATATTTAGTTGTAGCCATTGCCGTTCGATCCCCCGACCGCCTCCCCGAGCTAGTCGTCCCGAAGCCCCCCCGGCATCCCCAGCTTCTCCCACACTGTCGTAGTAGATCTTAACTCCCCACAGAGAGCGCACTTTTTTCGTTTCCAGCACACGTAGTGGTCCGCCTTTTAAAACAAACAAATTATTCTGCCAAATATTTGCAAAATTAACTTCTAAAAAAATGTTGAGAACGATGAAAAACCAAAGAAAAAACTAATCACAAAAATCAAAAAGCCAATCTCTAGATGATCAATTAATTTGTATTTTCGTACTTGCTTAATATCCAAAGACAATGTTCTAGATCGAAGAGGATCGACGTTATCTCGCGGATCACCTTCCCGCTGGTCTTCGCCCTGTTCAACCTGGTCTACTGGAGCACATATCTTTTCAGGGAGGAGGAGGATGAGTAAATGCCGTTACCTATTGCCAAGCACCACCAATTACTTTATAGAAGGGTTGGCCGGTTGGCTGCTAGCCAAAACCAATGTACTAACCTATTTCTTTCACTTCTTTCCACTTCCTTATCGGTTGACCTCATTTCATGCTTTTGTCTTGCGTTGCGTATGGCTTCATTTCGAATTTGGTTGATTTATTGATTGACACGTTGATTGAATGATTTAAACCGCTAAAGGACCTTCTAAGGCGCGTCTCTGAAACCCAGTGGCTATGTAGAATCCAACACGAAATTAACTAAGAATACCGTTAACAAAGATCGAGGGATACGTTACGATAATGCTAAAAGCTATATGTTTGCTTCTATGTATGTCTCCGGACAGTGCAGTATAGTTAAGAGCGTATCCTGGCACTTCCACTAACCGAACCGATGACGAGGAAGCAATTTTCGGTGAATAACAAAAGCTATAGTTAAGTGTAAGTTAAACTGATCAAGGCGACGACTGCATAGTAGTTAATGTTATAAATAATTATACGAAAACGAAAACACGACACAACACCACACCACACCACACACATCGACGCATTTTCGCGAAAGTATCGTATGTCGTAAAATCCAATTTTACAGGAGAAGCTTTTTTGTGCTTTAATCTCTTAGGAAGCACTATAGAAAAGACAAAATTGAAACTTAATTTTTATCGGAACTATAGGGGTTTCAGTTATAATATTTCACAGGGTAGTGAGACATTAGGTGCCCAACAATTTTGCATTAAAATCTCAATTTCGAAAAAAAGCGACATACGATACTTTCGCGAAAATGCGTCGACATGTTCCACTTGATTTGTTTTGAGGATGCCCAAATTGTTACGAATTGATGAGAATTATTTTAGCTGATAATCGATTTTAGACGATAATCGTGTTTTGTTCCGGACACTAGCTTAGTTCTAAAAAATTGCAATTGATTTGTACTTAAATGCGTTAAGTTAGTTAAGCCGCCAAACGGAGATGGGAGGAGAGGCGAGGGGGTCGTAGACAATTCGACGTTTGTAAATATGTCATACAATAAGTTTTAAGTCAACTAGTTTAAACGAATTCTAATTGTAAAAAGCGTGTAGATAAATTTAAGTTTAGTCGATAATAGAACAACTAACCGAAGCGAGAAACTCTAGGTAAATTCAATTTAATTATGTTCACCATCGAATTAAATAAAAATCGAATCGAAAATATCGAAGAAAATCCTTAAACGCACACAGAAACGAAAAACAGAATTTTATTTTCGCATTTTTTGCCCAAAACAACTCTTAAACGCTAAGTTCAACTGGAATTGGTGGGTATTTGCAAGTTATTTTTCACTCGAATTTCTTAGAAACCTTCCTCATTATTTTTTACCAAATCTATTAGTCGCTTGCGTTAATTTTAGAGTTGAATTTTTTAAAAAAGTAGCCAAGTAGTTGTTATACTCAAGGGGGACTAAGCCCGCTGTTCTGATTCCTGTTTTATTTGAATCCTTAGAATATTCTATTCAATTTACAATTTACAACTAACCTTTTACCATTTACTATTACTTAATTATGTATTGGGCCGCCAAGGCCACTTAGCTAGTTAATTTGCTTAATTAGATTTATGAAATATAAATATACAAATGCAAACCATAAACCAATTAACAGACAATACAAAAATATTTTATCATGTAGTGCAAGTCCCCGAGAACTTGTCGAATATTACTCATAAATTACTGCAATCAGTATAAATTAGATCGAGATGTAAACAGTTATTTTTATATCCAAAAATATCTTTGGTTATTTAAGTGCCTTTTGTATGCCAAGAAGATTTCTTTCTCACTTTTTCTCCTTCTAAAACGCTCTCTGTCTCTCTTGAACGAATATATGATATATTAAACTCTCCAAACACTCCAACCTTTTCACACTGAAATATAACCCCGAGTCCCAATTAGAGAAACGCACAAACAACACCCAGAATATGGAGCTCTAATTTTAGATTAATAATTACTTATTGTGAATTCTACATAGCGACAACAGAAACAAATGAAAACAACAACAATAACAAGTTAAATCCTTCAGATAACATTAACTAAAACGTTTTCGTAGATTTTTTACTATTTTCATTACCTTAAAGGCTTGTTTCGTCTCCTTTTTGGTTTTAAAAACCCTTCGTTTTGGAAATGCTTATTTGTTTGCTATCATTTACAATCTAAAGGTAAGAAATTAATCGTAAAGAGAAATCAAAAATCAATTGAAACTTATGCTAATATATAGACACAACACAAGGCACCCTGCATAATAACTGTTGTCATTAAACAATTGTCACGTACACCAAACGAACGATCAGACACCCGAATCGAAGATCGAAACTCGGTGAATATCTATAGATACTTTCATGTTGTAAAAGTTGTGCCAAGCAAAGAGAAACCAAACACTACATAGTCGAGAAATATCGAAAGAATTCGAACAAGCGAAATTATAACTATAACTCTAGCTATAGTTGTATTGTATATGAAGCTATTGAACATACAGGGTTTTTAAATGTGAGCATATATAGTTGGTGAACAGGCAGGTCTCGGAAACAGATGGCAGCCGGACTCGGGCCTGTTAGCCGGAAAGCGTTGATCGATGTACTAGACAAAGAATAATCATAGATGGAGAGGCGTAATTAAACTAGTTATTACACCAGGTGGGGGGAGGGCGAAACTCAGATTTCGGCATTTAATTTTAGTGAAAATAACATTCTTAGGTTGTGTGCTGCTTCCCGGTTGCCATTATCCAATTCGGTCAATTATCATTTTCCAGGCAAATCGTTCGGCAGCAACAGTCCAGTTTCACTGTAAATAGTTTGGGTCGAGAGCATGTAAATGTCATTTAATGGTTAGGTTAACGAACAAACGACTACGGGAGACGTCACACGAAATGTGCACAAGTTTATATAATATAGATGCGTTCAAAAGACTTACAGGTTTTGATTAACAGAGGCGAGGAGGAGCGTAGATATTAAAATCATTGAATCCCATGCGAATGCGGGGACAGAGCCCCGAGGCGGGATAGTAGACCGTAAGCTAACGTTAACGTATGTATAGTTCTTAAGCGACGGCGTTGAAAAATGCTTCGAAATCAGACTAGTTCAAGTATTCACAGTACTAAGCTACTAAGCGCCAAGACAAGTTACTTCCACCATCACTATCTGAACGATTCACTCACAAATTCACTCCACTCACTCGATGTTTAATCTTTGCTAACGACACCAATCAATCAAAACGACACACAAATCGAAATCGAAATTGAAATCGAAACGAATCGAAAACTAAATCGAAATCGAAATCGAAATCGAATCTAATCTTTGCACAGTTTGAGCGGGACAAACGAGTTTGAGTAATTGCAAGTTAAAATTTAGATAAATCATAACACATATCTTCCAAAAGGGGGCGACTCATGGCCCATTTCTAACAATCAAACAACTCCAACTATAATTTCGATAGTAGAAATGTAAATACAAGCAAGACCGAATCATTTCTATCGAAATCGCGACCGAGGGCGCAGAAAGCGAAAAGCAAAAGCTACCGAAATCAATAAACACTGCAAATCACCTTACTTTATAGAGCTAAGTCAGGACATGCACACGCTCACAACCACACCCACACTCAGACACGGTCCCCGGTGGGGGACCCGGCAAAGATCACATAGTCTTAAGACCGAAGCATTTCGGAAACGAACGACACAAGAATTTCGCTGTAGCGCAATCCAAACCCTGAACATAACCCAGTCGCAATAAGAAAAGACACCAAACTAACAGCCGAAAATAAATGAAAACTTACATATAGATCCGGCATAGGACACATCAAGGCCGTCAGTGGAAAATTAAAACAGCAAATCAAATGCCTAAGTGAAAGAATTAGTAGCGTAATTTTACAAAATAGTTGAAATAATTGTTGTCACCCAGAAGGAATGAAATCCTGAAACGAACAAGAGAAATCCGAATAATTGTGTAAAACCCGCAGAATAAAGATGTTTGTGAAATGTTTATAAATAAATGAAACAAAACAAAGTGAAAGAATACGCAATTTTGTCTTTTTTATTGAGTATTATATGGTTTCCTTCTTATATAGGAAATTATTTTCAAGGTTAAGTATTCGTATAAATAATCAAATACCATTTCTCAAAGATAAATATATATTTTTGCTTAGAATATAGGTTAAATAGGGCGTCCTTCGCACAGTGATATACAAAGCAAATCAAAGTAATGATTACCATAGCCGTGTGGTCGAGTAGATAAGTCATCCGACTAGCAGCGATGTTTACACAGAAAGTGAGACTGATATGTAAAGAATCTCTTAATTAGCTTCAAAGATAAGTGTCACCCGGGAAAATGATCTGCAAAACAGCCAGCCCCATGTTTTTTATCAGAATGTTTAATATTACGAGGCATATTTCCACCCAAATAAAGTTGGGTCTCAAATATTGTAAATCCACTAATTCAAATACAATTTAGTAACCTTGCAGTGTCGGAATCACTATCTTTTCCAAACTTTTCTCTTAGATTACTGGGCATAAAAACAACGTCAGCTGCTCCAGAAGAAGATAACTGAGTGAGCCACTGTGGGTCCTAATCTTTGCCAACTGACCCATGCCGTTATCTGTTGTCTTTTGAGTAGGTTCCCTGCCGTTTACAACGAGTAAACGCTGAGTCCACAAATATTTATCTAAATGTACAACTGCTGGCATCTATAAAAGAGGAGAGCAGTCGAAATCGTTAGCAGTTGAAATCTCAAGTTACAAAATATCGGAAGCAAGCAGCTTACAGAATGCCTTACACCCCAGTGAACTCCTACGACGGCGATCTTAAGATCTGGAGCGGAGAGTCGGTGAGCCACTACTTCGACCCACATCTGTCTATCGGGCAGATCATCTTCCAGGAGATGCGGCGTCATCCCCAACTCGTCGGCCAGGTTGGTTTCTAATAGGGTTACCTAGGAATCAGAAGGAAATATCCTAAACCTTTCCTTGCAGATCTCGGCTACAGAGAACACCGTCCTGACCAGACAGGAGCTCCATGCCAACTCCATGAAGGTGGCCACCTATATGCGCTTCTTGGGCCTCCTTCAATCCGATGTGGTGGGCCTAATAGGCAGGAACACCACTCACATGCCCGCTGTGGCATACGCCTGTTTATTTAACGGAATCGCCTTCCACTCGCTGAACATAACCTATGATCAGAGTACCATAGAGAAGCTCTTCAACATAACCAAGCCTCGCCTCATTTTCTGTGATGGAGATGAGTTCGAAAAGGTGCGCGCCGCCACCGCATCCCTAGATGTGAAGATCATCACCATGCGAAATCACCCAGCGGACTCCATCAGCATTGATGAAGTACTAGCCACTCCCATCGAGGAAAACTTCCAGCCAGCTCGCTTGGAACAGGGCAACGATCAGACCCTGGCTATTCTCTGCTCCTCCGGCACCACTGGAACCCCCAAGGCGGTCACCATCACCAACAGCCGACAGATACTGGCTGCCAACCAGTGAGTACTTATCAGTCATTTCGCGATCACAGCTAACTCTGCGCATAAATGGTATTTATAGCCAGCTGACCACTGCCGACATTCAGTACTCCCACAACACTCTCGACTGGATAACCGGCCTATTGACCACGGTGACCTCTGGCGTGTTCAGCACCACCCGCATCATCGCTGACAACGCCTTCGATCCTGCCTTCGCTTTGCGAGTCATCGAGGAGTACAAAGTTACGTGGACTATTCAGTCACCCTCGTCTATGGTTATGATAGCGAGTTCTCCGGAATTTGAAAACTCGGACCTTTCCGCTTTGCGGTGCTTTCAGTTTGGAGGATCCCGAGTAGCGATGGAGGTGCAGCAGAGCATCAGGAGTCGGTTGAGCAGTGACTGTCTGCAGTTTATTTATGGGTTCACGGAACTCGGTGCCCTGGCCAGCGTCAACTGTCACTTCGACGAGAAGCCCAATTCCGTAGGACGCTTGGTGAGCGGCCTCAAGCTGAAAATAGTCTCTGAAGATGGCCAATCCCTTGGACGTGGCGTGATGGGCGAGGTGTGCATCAGCAACAACCAGTATTGGGCGGGTTACTACGGAAACCAGCTGGAAACTCGAAACTTGCGCGATTCTCAGCGATGGTATCAGTCCGGAGATCTCGGATACATGGACCAAAACGGCTTCCTGTACATAGTAGATCGCAAGAAGGACATGCTGAAATACATGGGAACAATGTACTACCCCCACGATATCGAATTCGTAATATCGGAGATGCCGGATGTGGCTGACGTCTGTGTCTTCGGGGTATGGGATCAGATCAACGGAGACGAGGCTGCTGCCGCCGTGGTGAAGAAACCGGGCAGCGATCTGAGTGCCGAGGATGTTGTGGAATATGTGAGCATGCGGACGGATTCCAAGTTTAAGCAGCTGAATGCTGGAGCCATTATCGTGGAGGATCTGGAGCGCAGCGCCAATGGAAAGACTAACAGAATGGCCAACAAAGCTCACTACTTGCAAGTGAAGGGTCGGAGCTAAATGCCAAATATTTACATAAATACCAAATGCTGCTGGAACGCTTACTATCTTAGGATGTATAAATATAAATAGTTGTAAGCTAGGTTATAACCGATTTCGGAATAAAGTATATTATTACTGATGGTAATATAAATGTTTCTTCACAATCCCTGTGTCCATCACAAAGGTCAGGTGTAACCGGCAAAATCGAGGAGACACAAATTTCTTCTTCTTCCTTTTTTCACACCGTTTTTTATACCCTTGCACACTTATAAAATTTTTACTTAAAATCGTCTTAAAAAAGCCACTTTTCGCCCGTACAATTAGAAATTCGCCTATAAAATGGATTCAAAGGTAAGTCGCCCTAAATTTGAGAAAAAATTTTCCCTAAAATTAGGAAAGACATTTTCTTAAATCTAGGGCGATTTTTCTTAAATGAAGGAATATTTTCTTGTTTATAAGGAGATTTGTCCTAAATATGGGACAAATTTTTCTCAAATTGAAGGTGCATTTTTTCTTACATTTAGAAAGATTTTTCTTGAATGTAGAAAAATTGAAGGTAAGTTGCAATTGTATGTTGTTGCTGCTGCATTGGTAAATAAGCAATAATATTATTTTGGTTGTAAAAAATATTGTTAATAAATATTAATAATATTTTTGTTGTTGTATTACAACAAAAACAATATTATTTTGTTTATTAACAAAGGCGGCCAAAATGCTAACACTTTTGGTGTTGCAAAAGAGACTTGCTCTTACGCACGCGCACGCGTGCTGAATTTGTCAAAATTTTAGAAAGAATCCGCCAAAGTTTTACAAAAAATTGACCAAACAAACAAAGAAAATTCTCCCGTAATTTAAGAAAATTCGCCCGTAATTAAAGAAAGAAATTGAACGAAGCAAATCAGAAAACCTTGCCCAAAATTTAAGGAAAATAAATAGAAATAGAAAAATTAACCTTAAAAATTTTTCTTAATTTTACGGTGCCTGCCTTAAAATCAAATACACTTTTTTCGTAGTGTTAGGAAATTTTTCTTAGTTTAAGGGCGATTTTTTTTAAGGCGATATTCCTAAAATGCAGAAAAATAATTTTATGAGTGCAGGGTATTATAATTTCAGTCAGAAGTTTGCAACGCAGTGAAGGAGACTTTTCCGACCCTATAAAGTATATTCTTGATCAGCATCAACAGCCGAGTCGATCTAGCCATGTCCGTCTGTCCATTTCTACGCAAACTAGTCCCTCAGTTTTAAAGCTATCTAACAGGCCTGCTCCGTGAATCGAAATCGTCATGATTTTTTCGTTTTTGAAAACGAGAAATTGGTGCTCCGTTAATCGAAAACGAAAGATTTTTTCGATTTGAAAAACGGGCACCTTTTTCTGACCGGAATGAAAAGTAAATGGATTTTTTATATGAAATCAGATCTTATTTACAAAAGAAAAAAAATAGTTTACTCAGTGGTCTATTGATGTTTATTCCACAACACCATAAGATCATTCTGGCAGGTAGTTATTTTATAAAAAATTTATTTCTGACCCCTCCTCAGATTTGACAACAAAATTTTTGCCGTGTTCAACCAGTTTTCTCGTTTTGGCGATAGGTATTGTTGGTGGAACGAAACAGCCAGTTAAAAATACTTATAAAATATAAATGAATACATTAATAACTTTAAAGGACCGCCAAAATAGTTATTTAATGTGCTATTTAATGTGATTACGTAAATGGTCCAAATTAACCAAATAATTATTTGAGACCACCGGAATTAGAACTGTGAAAAGTGTGGCGGCATCTTAGATGCCTAGATTTGCTTAAATCTAGCATTTTTTTTTGCCTTTTTCTGGCTTAGAAAAAGGACAATTGTAAATATAATAGGCAGTAATTTACGTTGTTTGCTTATTACCAAAAACACAAGTTAGCTTCTTGAGCAGTGAGAAACGATGAGAAAACGAAATATTCTGATAGCAGAAATTTGCCGAAAACCGGAGCAGCTAAAAACGAAAACGCTTCGTTTTCGCCCAAAACGAAATCGAAAAAATTGTACGATTACCGGAGCAGGCCTGTATATGAAAATCTTTCGTTTTCGATTACCAGAGCACCAATTTCTCGTTTTCAAAAACGAAAAAATCTTGACGTTTTCGATTACCGGAGCAGGCCTGCTAGATAGCTTTAAAACTGAGAGACTAGTTTGCGTAGAAACGGACAGACGGACATGGCTAGATCGACTCGGCTGTTGATGCTGATCAAGAATATATGTATAGGGTCGGAAAAGTCTCCTTCACTGCGTTGCAAACTTCTGAAATTAATATACCCTGCACTCATAACATTATTTTTCTGCATTCGCCTTAAAAATCGCCCTTAAACTAAGAAAAATTTTCTAGAACTACGAAAAAAGTGTATTTGAATTTAAGGCAGGCACCGTAAAATTAAGAACATTTTTTAAGGTTAATTTTTCTATTTCTATTTATTTTCCTTAAATTTAGGGCAAGGTTTTCTGATTTGCTTCGTTCAATTTCTTTCTTTAATTACGGGCGAATTTTCTTAAATTACGGGAGAATTTTCTTTGTTTTGCTGGCGAACTTTTTGTAAAACTATGGCGGATCCTTTCTAAAATTTTGACAAATTCCGCACGCGTGCGCATACAATTCCCAACTGGTTCAAACGACTCTGGCATGAGGTGACGGTGGCCGGCCAACATTTAGTAAGAGCAAGTCTCTTTTGCAACACCAAAAGTGTTAGTATTTTGGCCGCCTTTGTTAAGCCTAGTACTCTGACGAGAAAAACCAGCTGTCTAAATTAGACAGCGGAATCGCTGTTTATTTCGCTACCGAGCTAGTGTGACCAAAAAAATAAGGAATATCCTGAAATGCCATGAAAATGTACTTTTTATGACGTTTAACGATTTTTTTTGGTCACACTGGACAGCTGTTTGTAAACAAATATTCAAAAAAATATTTTAAATATTAATAAATATGGCATTAAAATGTCCTTTGTGGGTTAAATTCCATATTATGGGCTTCCCCTATCAATGCCACCTTTTTCCTTCAACTTTCCCTCTATTATGGGTGTCTAAATAAATCAAATGAATTATTTAGACAGCGCGATATCAACTGTTTACTATCTTGATCTGGCAACGCCATCCAATTTTAGCAGGCTTCATTTTCGTCGTCAGAGTACCGGAAAAAACGACGAGGCTAAAAATTCTTCTTCCTTTTTCGACACCGTTTTTTTTATATGGAGTTTGCCGCTGTATAAATGTATACACCGGATTTTCGTCGTCAGAGTACTAGGCTAAAAATTCAAATCAGATGGGCGCGCCCGACTACGATCTCATTTGCTCAAGCTGGCGCTGGTCACACCAAAAAGGTATAATCTAGTACAAAAGTTGCGGTCACACTAAGCCTCGCTAGGCCCTATATAAAGAGGGCCAGACCGTAAATCGGTGCCTGTTTTTCGACAGCGGTCGGCCAGGCTGGGCGGGTTCCTGATCGGTATCATCCGCCACTTTGTACTGGCGGAATTTGGCACCTTGATAGGCATGGTGTAAGTTCTGGTAATTAGATTGTGGCATTTTTTATTTTCACCGGATCGTGGTGATCGTACTGTGGAAAAAATAAAATGCAGAGAAACCAGAGTTCTTTAAAATGTTAGAGATTTTAGCACTCTCATTCCACCTCGGAGGTTGTAAGGTTGGCGCGTTGTTTGTTTGAGTGGTTTCCCCAGGAGGCCTACTCCACTTTTAATATTAGTATAGGAAATTAAAATTAAGGTATTAATAAGAAATTTTAAACTAAATATTAATAACTAAAAACTACGACTACAAATAAGAAGAAAAAGGGGAAATCCGAGTAAGGACGGTTGGAAAAGCAACTCAGGGCAAACCAAATCGCTTATTTTTTCCCTATATCCTCAAGATTGTCGTTAGTGAGGAAGGCGGCCCCAAAGCTAGCGGATTCTGGGCAAAGGGAAAAATATTTCTTGGCTATTGCATATACTTTAAAAATTTCCTCCAAACAAAAATCCCTAGTGCTCTCATTGCATTCATTTTTAGCGAATTCTAAAATCGCTTTAAACTCTTTTTTTACGTTACTTTTGAGGAAATTAAAACAGTACAATTTTTTAAATATGAAATTTATTACCGTTGCGTTATCTTTTTGCGCCAAAACGGCCGTGGCATGTCTGCAATCCCACAGAAGAGGGACTCTGTAGGATGCAGCGGAATCTTTTAAATTTACTCTATCGTGATCACTGACAAAGGCCAACAAGTTCTGATCTAAATCCCTAGTTTTAAAAAGTGAACGATAAAATTTGTAATTACCTGAATCCTTTCTATATTGCATTTCCTTACATTTAAATAAATTTCTTGGTAACGCAATCCATCATAGGATTGCAGGGAAAAAATGTAGGTATTCAAAAAGATTTTTAATGACAACTGAAAATGTAATAAAATAAATAAATATTAATATAAACAAGAAAGGAAATGTTGAAACATGCAAATTTTACCAAGCACGTGTTGGTCTCTTTCTCGCACATTGTTTTGTATGTATGTACTTACCCGCAAAGTAAAGGCGTCGTAGCACACGACAAACGGCACCTTCCACGTCTTTGAATCCACCATCGACGTCAGGTTTATTGAGCAATTGGACAATTTTCAGCACTTTGGAAGCCCTCTCTTCCAAATTGTCTCTATCCTTAAGATGAGGAAATGATTTAACAATAGTAATTAAATCGTTTTTCCAGTCTTTGGGCGGAATTGATCTTGTTTGTTCGGACATTTTGCGAGGTTTGTCTTTCTAGCGCCTAGAGAATGCAAAAGCTTTTCGCTATCAATATCGATAGTTTTATTTTATACATAATGATGCATTTCCGCGAATGTATCGTATGTTGAAAAATCAAATTTTACAGGAGAAGCTTGTTTTTGATTTAATCTCTTAAGAAGAAGGGATTTCCTGGTACGTCACAAACCAGGCCATCCAGAACGACGTACGCTTGTTCCGGTGGGCGACCTCCTAAATCAGCGATGGGCACGAGATCTAACGGTTTGAGCAGCAGCTCGCTGAAAAAAAAAAAACAAGAACAACCCCCAGCGTCGCGAAGCGTCGCACCCACGCGACACACAGAATGTGCGAGCCGAGAAAATACACTGACAAAAACTTT